TATATATATATATATATATATTATATATGACTGACGCCATATTGGATTTTTGGCTTCGTAGTTCTCTTTCTGAAGGTTGACAGCTTATAGATGGCGTCAAAATACTACACAAATTTTAGACAGGATGATTCAGGAATGGTAAATGCATAATGCTTTACAAACATATTATGAAAACAATTGAAAAAAAAACAGATTTAATTGTTAAAACAATTTTTTATGACAATATTATATGGTTGCTACGTAAATACAATTACAGTATTTTACTAGACTCTCAATCTTCAGTTTGTGAGCTATATTTCAACTATTACCAGACCATTAAAATATTATTTACAATGTATAATGTTGTGCAGCTATTGATGGTTCCCTCTTTGATCAGCATTATCAACTATACGTTTATTATGTTAATGTCATTAGGTATATTATACCTACTTTATAAAAATCTAAGAGATAATCCAATGTGCAGTTGGCTTATAATACATGTCGCCCTTACGATGTCTTTGGTGTAGATTCGATAATATTTGTTCAGCCTTGCGTTAGGATACATTAAAAAATCCTAATAGAATAAATCTTGAGGTTAAAATGATGTTTGTTTACAATTTGTAGAACTTGTAAATTTTTATTAATAGGGAAAAGATATATATGATCAATACCTTATTCTCCATATAGTTGATTTCTATTTCTGCATATTATAAACAATAAATATATGTCTCTAGTGTGAAAATAAGTCATTCATTCAGGATATCATTCTATTAGGATTTTTTTTATATAAGTATACGTGAGTTAAAGTCCTTGCAGAACAAGCGCCATTTTCGAGAGATTGAGATCCCTGTTGAAAAGTTAAAACGCAAAGCAGATGATGAAGAGGAAGGCCATTTGACAAAGACAACTGTAAACTCTATCAAAATGAGCAAGCAGAAAAGATTAGCCGTTCTGAACAATGTAAAGCAAGACGAGGCTAAGCTTGATCCAAATATAGTTGGATTTGAAGTAAGTTTGAAGTAACAACCACAATACAAACCACAATGAAAATTGGTAAAATTATTGTAGAAGTAATCGAATAATATCTATTTTCAGTCCAGCCATAGTAGCGATGAAGATGATAGTAACGAAGAGGAGGAAAGTGAAGCACAGGTTCCTGCTTCTAATGTTGTGATAAATGAAAAGAAAGATAAACGTATCACGAAAGTAAGAGAAACGCATCGCGAAAGATGTAGAAAAAGAAACAATTTCAGTTAAACCTTAGGAATCTAAAAAATCAGTGGAGGAAGTACAACAACGAAACGTTGCCCCCAAAGTTCGCCTGCTGTTTTTGTACCTGTAAATAGAAAACCTGAGATACGAGCAGCAAGATTGAAATTGCCCGTTGTCGCGGAAGAACAAGTTATAGTTGAGACAATAAATGAGAATCCAATAGTCATAATTATGGGAGAGACGGGAAGTGGTAAGTAAGATTATTATAATTAACAGCAGTGAAAGATATCAGATTTCGTTAATTTTTGGGAGAACGTTATGATAATATTAGGCTAAGCACAATTTTTTTTAGTGACTTCTCTTTTGTTTAATTATTCAATTCCGTCGCAGGGAAGACAACGCAAGT